GCTTTGTAATTTAAGTTTTCTCATGTAATGTCACCTAAACCCACCCTCATAACTCCTTTCAGAGAATCGCTTGGCAGATTTGGAAAGCGAATTTGAATTCAGCGCCCAAAAACACATCTAGCAGTGTAGGTCTTATTTCAAATGGCCACTTCGAGTTGGGATCTTTCCCTGGTTGATTCTTTCGCAAACAGCAGAAGTCTCTCTATAACAGTGGATTCTGAAATTTTGCAGTCCGTCCTGGACATCTTTCGTTCTTATCGCTAACACAGCAATGTCGTCACCGTAGCGTCTGGCCTGCGGTCTCAAAGAGAATTTTGAGTAAAGTTCAACCTATTGTTCTTGTTGAATAGTGCGGAGTATACATTGCTAATCCACACATTTCCTTTATCATAGAGATTAGGTTTTTTGAAACCTTACATTCTCGAAGTGCCCCGCGTTAGGTCACGGCGGTATTGACTGGATATCTGAAAAGGTCAAAGGAACATCTAGGCTTATGACCAGGTTCTTTTAAAAGGCTTTCACGAAGGGAATGACGTCATGCCACACGAACGAAGGAAGTTCTTTCGAAATACACGGGCTCACGAGAGGGACGTTAGAATCGCCACCCGTCTGAGCAAATCGATGGTCAATGGACAGCAGGTGAAAGAAGTGAATCAAGTGCTATTGAAAGTACTTGCTTCAAGGCTAGATCATTAATGTTAATATTAATATTGATATTGATACATTTAATATTCACGGACACTATAAGTACAATTACAAGCGTTATGTAAAGATTATAATGCATAATGCTTACATACCTTAGGCCTCTCTCCAGGGTAACGTCCACCAGTACCACGTTGTCCTTGGCGAGCATTTCCACCACGACGTTGCCACATTTTGAATGCACGTTGCTGCTCTCTGAAGATCGAGTTTGGAAGAATTTGTGATGATTATGCTTTTCGTCTCGATGAAAATAGGAAAAAGCTGTACTTGTAAATGCATGAAATACCAACTTAGCAATGCTCCGCTTCATCTTCAGATTTTGCCCCTGTAACGCTTGCTCACGTCTTTCCTGATCTTTTTGCAGAAGTTTTTTGAACTGCAGTTGACGAGCGCGATAGTTGCGCTGAGGATTACGTTGTACGGGCTTCGATGAATCCACCTACAAAAACTCGAACTTTTCCCTATTCGCAAATACATGTCTACTCTAATTGCTTGAAAAAGGACCGAAAGAATGGGCACACCCTCCTTTCATTTTTTCCTTGTTACTGAACAGATTCAAAAGTTTCCTATATGGAAAAGTCTACTTTTGAGTCGAGTTGGATGGAAGTATACAATGAGATTCACATTAATTATCCTTTTTTAAAAGTAGATAAGGGTAGGCATCGCATTTCTCGGGTAGTACTGATCGTATAGACCTCAATTTCCGTTTTGAATTTGGCCAACCTGCTCACGTGCCGCTTCCGACTGAGGATTTTTATAGTGAAAAATCGCGAGTAAGAGTCAAGGTCTAATTCCAGTCAATGATATACATGATCTACGAAAACACAAATACATTTCTAATTTGCAGGAAAGGTGTGTTATACTTAACTCTTCGTTTACAATCAGAGCTTTGCAGAACATTAAAGCTTATATTATAGGATTGTCAAGGTTATCTTGTTATATTTGCAATTTGTAGTACACGGTTCTTCACACCACATTCGATCTCCTTTTGAGTGTTTTCTTCCTTGACTGGCCATTGTGATGATTAAGAAATATGGATCGGAATCCCACAAGTAATATTACGGGATTGGTACCCGGATATTACCTTGCTTACCTTCTCCATGACATTTGTCGGAATACTCAAGGGCTGATGCTCGGGCAAGAACCTTTGTATGATTGGGACATCATTACCGCTTCTGTAGGGGAATCGCACTTGGATACCAACCGCGGCGCATTAGATCATAAGGTCTTCTTTTCAATCCTAGTCCTCTACTTACGATCTTCTAATCATTTATTGTATTTACCAGTCGGCTCGCTCGGCTAACGCCGGGCTCCCCTATTTCTCGTGTTAAGATGGCCTCGCCGCCCACACTTTTTCGGTAGATGAGAGCAGGAGTTATTCATTCCCGGCCAAACACAAACACCCAACACGCATCCCGACCGCCATGAGCAAATCTTTTTAGGTTTTAAGTGTTTGAGTAACTCAATCTATTTTCGACTTACTCGACCTTGGTTTCGAAATTTCGTTTCAAGTCTAAAATGACATTTTTCCCACGCCTCGCCTCCTGTAAGCGGATTTAAGCCCTGCCGCCCGACATAGGTGCTCCCATCCTGCCACCTGTATTTCTATCGAATATCTAGTTCCAATTGAAAATTTTTCGCACTACCCCGCCTTATGTGGGAGTCCGGTCTTGCGACCCACCATGAGTGTTTCTATCCTGCCGCCTGCACACCCATCAAATTTCAGCGCTAGGTCCACGGGAACAGGAGCTATGAACTTCCACTCAGACCCCGCCCCTTGGCCCACTGTGGGCGGAGTCCTGTTTTTTTTTCAAAATGTAGGTTTCTTGCAAACTCCACCCACAATGGCGCACGTTCCTCTCAATTATAGAACTCGATCTGCCTACAGTTTCCAGACTCAATGCATCTATTCCCCGTTCTCCAGTACTTCGTGGAAGCGAGTTATAATGTTTCGTGGGTAACTTCGCACACATTTGGGCAAGCCCAATCCATCAATGATGGTTGACTTCATTTTCTTTGCTGACCTCTATCCACTTTTTTCCCGCATTCTATAACGTTTTTGAACAGAGTTGTGAAATTTTGGTCTAAGCCCCGCCCCCCTTTGTGCCAGCCCCGCCCACTTTGAGGATTTGCCCACATTTGTTCCATTATCTCTAACCAATTTCCCCCGCATTCTAAAACTTTTCCGAACGAAGTTACACTCATTTTTGAAAAGTAGCTTTCACCTCAACGCACCCTCCGCCCTTGTGGGCGGGCCTCCGCTGACGTCATTTATGCTGGATCGTTTATGCTGGAAACACTTTCGGAATGCTTCCCTACACCAACTTTTTCCTGCTCTTCTGGCCTTCTCCAAACTTAATTATAAATGTTTTCATAAAGCATTGCATTTTTGGAGAACGCCCCGCCCATCGAGGGTGGGTATCCCTAGTTCGATCTAACTTATCAATGCACACCTCCAGCCACCTTAACACCCCAGTTTTGAAGCCGTCTTGTGTCTGAATTCGAAATCATGGTTCTCAGTACAGCTCATTTCGGTGCACGTCACGCCCACTGTGGGCGAGGCTCCGCCAAGCTGATGGGTGCTTTTTTCTTCTCGGGTCATGGCCCATCATCCCACTCTTGATCCGGTCTCTCCAGGCAGATCAAAAAGAGCTAAGAAATTTCGTGACAGACATACATAACGACAGACGACAAACAACAGAACGACAGACGAAGCGCTTTATATAATACCAGGCGGCTACGCACGCTCTCGCGCGCGCTAGAGGCTCTAGCCGTGAGAGACGGGGCCGCATGAGCTGATTTTCATTATAGACCTTTATCGGATTTATGAATTTTCACCCAAACCCCGCTTCTCGTGGGCGGAGTCCGGTTTTGCCACCGACCATAAGTTTTCCCATCATGGCGCCTGTACTCCTACCAAGTTTGAACTTTCTAGGTCCATGAGGACAGCAGTTATAAATTACCGCACAAACCCCACCCCTCGTGGGCGGAGTCTGGTTCTACCACCCACCGTAAGTTTTCCCATCATGGCGCCTGTACTCCTACCAAGTTTGAACTTTCTAGGTCCATGAGGACAGCAGTTATAAATTCCCGCACAAACCCCGCCCCTCGTGGGCGGAGTCCGGTTTTGCCACCCACCATAAGCTTTCCCATCACGGTTCCTGTACTCCTACCAAGTTTGAACTTTCTAGGTCCATGGGGACAGGAAATTTGAATTTTCGCCCAAACCCCGCCCCTTCTGGGCGGAGTCTGGTTCTACCACCCACCATAAGTTTTCCCATCATGGCGCCTGTACTCCTACCAAGTTTGAACTTTCTAGGTCCATGAGGACAGCAGTTATAAATTACCGCACAAACCCCACCCCTCGTGGGCGAAGTCTGGTTCTACCACCCACCGTAAGTTTTCCCACCATGGCGCCTGTACTCCTACCAAGTTTGAACTTTCTAGGTCCATGAGGAC